GATATCAGTGATGATTCCAGCAGAGTTGTGGCAGATATAAATTAAGTGTCATTGCAGACTTTTTACTAGAAAAAAAACCAAAATTGCCTAAATTTTAAATAAATATGAGCTATGGGACAAATTAATCGATCTTCATGAGAGTAGCTTGCCTCTCTTTATAAGACTGTAGATTTATGTGATGGGCATAACATGGTGGTTGTTAAGTCCCTAGTGATAAAAGCTATTGATTATTTCCATGCGTTAGTATAATGGTGCCTAGTTACCTTGGCAATGAATGTAGTATAAATACATGTGTGCACATGTGTCTCAGAGAGAGAGAGAGAATTCAGTGATCTGAACCTCTTGTAGAGGTAGCACCATATTTACCTTTCACTAGCCACCAAGTTTTGTCCATTTTTTAATAATGCAAAAAACTTTCCCTTTGTTTATAAGTGCAGCAGTCGCCGCAAGTTCCTGCAAGCATCCCAGGAAGATGCCACATGTGGAATACTTCACACTAACTCCTTGAAGTTTGACAGCTCAAGCCCATGACCTTGAACTTGCACCAGGGATTTCTGAAATACTGGAATGATGTGCTGGCAGTGTATTCCCTCACTTATCAAATGCAACATTACATGGATTTTCACCTCAAGACACAAGGAGTCATGTAATCCAGACTGGAGGACACAGTTTTGTAAATTTATCACCAAATCCATTTCCCTCAGGATGACATATTGCATTTTGGCTCCCTGTAAACAGAAGAATGCATTTAGAAAAGCTTTTGTTAGCTATTTGATGTGCTAAGGAGTGGGGCACCCTGGAAAGTTTTTCCCCAGGAATTTAATTTTACCACTTTATATTGACAACAAGAGTTTGTTCTATTTTGCTACATGTAGTAAAATGGCACATACAAATGAGCACCAAAATAAAAAAAACCCAAAAAACACACCACAGCAGAAAAAGGCATGATTTCATTATATTTGGGATCTTTTTCAACAAAACCAGTTTTGAAAATCAGTGTTTAAGCAGCTAGTAAGGAACCCAGAGGGACAGAAATCTATTTACTGAGACAATTTAAACTAGGTCTATCTAGGAATGATTTTTTTCAGATTGAAAAAAAGGAAGTAAATCTTCAA